TAACTACCATTCATAGAAACTTCGCCGTGCAGCAACAACGTTTACCTTGCTTATGAAATTGTCCCCCCCCCCCAAAAAAAAATTAGACGTCCCTTGACAAATACTGTTCAATCGCACATAGGGGTCTAATAGAATTCATGTCATTATCAAAAACTAGAAAAGTAACCGATATAATATTTTTCTCTCTTATATATATATATATATATATATATATATGTGTGTGTGTGTGTGTGTGTGTGTGTGTGTGTAGATCTCTTTAAATGTTATTTTTATAGAAAGGCTCATTTTTTTCTTTACTAGGAATACTCGAATATTCAGACCAATAGACGAATATAAAAAATACTGTTTATGAAATAAAAGAGGCGTCTACTCAAATATGGGTATCCACTGAAAATAACTTTTAAAGTGATAAAAATATGTCGGATTAATAAATAAAATCCAGTAATTCTTTAGAATATATATATATATATATATATATATATATATATATATATATATATATATATAAAACACAAGGGATTTATTTTAATCGGATATTTCTATTACTGTAAACATGGATACTCGTATTTGAAACAGACATCCCATTTTCATTTTTACTTTAAACAGTATGTACTACCGCTATCATTCTGCGTATTAGAGAAATCTTGATAAAGAAAATATGGCTGTCTATATTTCTGAGATGAGGTATTGTAACTATTTACACTCTTCGGGCTGTTGTCCTCATCTTTATTGCCATAGTCACGACACATGGCCCAGTGAATAAAAGTGTTGGTTAAAGTAATCCAGTGACTTGACACATAGAGTTGTGAGTTCAATACCTGGCCACAGCAGAAGTGAACAAAACCATGGAGAATTGGGATAATAAGGGGAAATCACTGAAACTGAGATATCCAGAAAAGGCATGGCACGTGGAACTAGAACACTCTACCTCGGTGGACGAAAAAAAAGGTTTCGATTTGAAATTCGAACATATATCCTCTGAAGAAGGCCGGAGCGTACAACGGCCGAAACGTTGTGAATAAGATAATAAAGATGAAGACAACAGTCCAGACAATCTAAATAGCGTAAAAAGAAAATTCGTTCTCCCACAGAAATCGAACCTGCGTCCAAGTTTATAGGAGAAACTAGCGTTTGATCTGGCATACTTCATAACAGAATGGTAAAGCTAATCATAATAATAAAATGCTACTGGTTTGCCGGTGACTATCAATTTTGTAGAATAAAATGCACTATATATAATTCAATAATGATAAGAAAATATATATTTTTTACGTGAATAAACGAGTATTTTTACCTCCATGTAGTTTACCGTCGAACAAGTTTCACCGTAAGAAGAAAAAAATGTCGGACACCCGTCCTCGGACGTCGGCAATGATCGCAACGCGAAGCAAGAAATGCAAACCAAATATTTTGAAGATGAAGACTTGAATTGAACTACAGAATATGGTATAGGCACACACACACACACACACACACACACACACACACACACACACACACACACACACACATAGAAATCTATCTATCTATCTTTCTCTCTCTCTCTCTCTCTCTCTCTCTCTCTCTGTATATATATATATATATATATGTTGTCGAAGTAGGTATATATATATAAAGTCTGGACAAAAGAAATCTCATTAACTGTATTTAAATTACCTCCACAGATTAAACATGATTTTGTCGAAAGGAGAAAGAATTGACTGGTTTTTCTGGGTTATGCTAAAGGAGAAGGTGTACTCAATGAAAATCACAGATGCAACAAACTTGATTGAACGCATAAAGAGTTAATGTGCTAAAATTGATAGCAATGCATCGAGTTCATGTGAATCTTGCAAAGCGCATCAACACATGCATCACAAATGATGGAAATCATATCGAAGATGTTATTTCTTAATATTCCAATTCAACTGCTTTGAATATACGCTCTTTTAGCACTAGAGGGCGTCGTCAGTGATGTTCTGGAAATGGATCATTGGGCAGTTTCGGGTCTTTCAAACCTCATACTGACCTCACCAAATCGACCCCCTCAGAGCTGATCAGACTCTGAAATGCTCTCTAAAAAATGATTTGTTGAAAATTTCATTTCTTAAAAATATGTATTTTTGCCTATGTGTGCAGATTTTAGGGACACCCAGTACTTTGCAGATGTGTTCACTGAACTCTTCAAAGGGAACTGCATTAGGTGAATTTTGGACAGAGAAGTTGCTAATTAGTTTCGTACTGAAGAAGCATCAATGCCGATGATACGACGATATACGGGCGCATATATGAGACTCTCGATGGTCAGAGATTATCCAATGGGGTAAAAACTGGCTGATTACAATTCAATGCCTCGAAGACCAAGCTGGTTTCATTCTATCACCAGAACTGCCACCAATTGGGATGAACGGGGTCCTCTCAGAAAAGCACCGTACCTTGAAAGACTGCTGGGCCTCAAACTTGAGAGGAACATACGATCCATCGCTAAGGATGCAGATAAGATGGTCGGCTCCCTGTATTACTCCGGTAAGTAACTGACTGCTCCTGCTATCCTTTACAAAGGCCAAATTAGGCTAAAAATGGAGTACTACCCGGCTTTGATAGAGTCCAAAAGCGTCTCCGATCCCATTAGGGTGATGAATTATTCTCTATCCTTCAACTTATCTCCCACAGGCGGGATGTGGCCTCTCGCTGCTCTAGTGCTACTTCGATGGAAAGTGCTCAGACGAAGTACATTCACGGCAAATACACATCACTAACATAGTAGCAAACCACCCATATTCTCCCTATACTCCATCGGTGAGAAGTAAGTTCCATCGAGCAGCTCCTTCACGCGAACCACTGCCCTGTGGAACCGACTCCTGACAGGATGTTTCCCCCGATCACTACAATCTTAACCTGTTCAAGGATAGGGTTAACCGTTACCTTCCATTCCCGTACACAGAAATGGTCTCCTAACGTAACTCTCTATATATATACTGGGTACGTAATCATGATAATCTTTTCGCAGAATTCTAAAGAAAGGTCTGTTCCTATGCTATCTTCTCTCGATGCTCTTCAGCTTTTGCACACCTTGAAGCGTAATCATTATTTCTTGTTCTTATCTCAGGAATATCACAAGTATTTTCAGAATTTTATTATTTGTTTTCGTATAGGTTTGCTGGTAATACTTAGTAATTCTTAACATCTTATCCCAACGTTTAGTACCTTCCCCATTTCTGTCTTTCAACGCCGGTCTTTCTGTTTACTTTTGGGCCTGCCTTCTCAAGCTTTTTCTGATAGTTGCTTCTACTTTCTCTATGTTCATTTTTTTCTCATTTCTCAAACTTTTTCTGTGCTGTGTCCCTTCAGGACGTGAAAGATCAGAGCTCTCCACAATTTCCTGTCCTTTTTATTTCTATCCATGATTATCAGCTAGATTACTCACTGTTTCACCCTGTTCTTCTTGCTCCCCGTATGTCCTGTGAGTGTCAAATTTTCCTTGCCTTTTTCCTCTTTATGTGTTTTCATTCTACGATTTCCTTTTTGTTGCTATTTTTTGTTGCTCACATATTTCATTCATGGAATTCTCAGCATCCTTCTGTAGAACCACATTTCTGTTACTTCAAGTCTCCTCTTTATTAGGAAATTGTTCTGCATTCCCTGTCATATGGGAGGATTGATATGACATGACAGTTCAGCATTCGTTTCTTTGTTTCTTGTGAAATACCTGTTTCTTAATTCTTTGCTTAGCTTTTGGATGGCATCTTTTCTGCTTCAATGCGCCTTCGAGTTACTGCGTCATATTTTCCATCGTCTTTAAAAACACTTCCCAAATAGTTAATTATCTGAACTTACTTAATAATTGGTTCTCCAATTCGTAACTCGCCTCCTGGACTGTCTCTCTTATTAACGACCATAAAGTTAATTTTTTCTTCCTGCTTTCCTTTACAACTTTGTCTGCAGTTGTCTACTGTACCGTCTGCTTATCTTAGGCTGTTAAAATCGTGTTCCCCAATAATAAATTCTGGTAGAACATCTAATTCCCTTTGGTTTATCCTCATTGAATCTTCTCTCTGCCGCGTTCCATAAAGACGTTGGCGATCATGGCTCTTCGTCTCTTTCTATCTCTTGTAGCTCTTAATAAGTTTTGCATTTCTACCATCCGACCACCTATTCTATCATCTATTTATACAAGCTGGCCAGGCAGATGGCTCGATGTCTCCCCTACCTTTTTTGACTTCGATATATCCTGTGAGTGTCAAATTATCCAAGCCCTCCTTCCTCATTAAGTGTACAAGACATTTCAGCTGCCCCATTCTGATTTTGAGTGTGTGTTCATTTTGTTTCCACTTACTTTAAGACTGCTTCGTTGTCTATGTGAGTAGAAGAGCACCTGGCTAGTTCCTTCTACGTATCTGCATTGAAATCCGGTAAAATTCATTCATGCGTAGCGAGTATTTGGATATTGGGCAAGTAGACCAACGCCTCTCCAGCTTAAACATGAGCCACTGTACTCCAACTTGGTTACAGACACGTGGCTGTTGATTCTATCAGGGTATGTCGGGGAATCTTTGCACTGGCCGCTGACTTCACTAACTGCATACATAGCTATGTAGTCATTGGACTCGATGGCCGTTGAGCCGACAAGATGGTTCATCTGCCTATGGACAGGTCTTGCATTTACCCCTGATGGGGTCTCTAGTCACCCTCCTCACCTGAAAGGTCGATGGTGGAACCGGTTTAGTCCACTATGCGGCAGGTAGTGATGGGTTACATAGTACCAGACCCACTCGGGGAGTGACCTCCTGTCAGCAGGAAATCATTTCCTGTGTCCTGTTTTTACGGCAACGAAAGGCTCTCAAATTTCTGTTCACTGTCACTATTTTTTTATTCGGTTTTGTTCCACGCCTTTCAAATCTTATAGGTCGATAGTCGTTGTAAAAAATGGATAAAGGGAACAGATGTTTTTTTTTTTTGTTTTCTTGTTTTTCTTGTCTTCCTACGGACTTTAGCGAGAAAGGACACTAGCGATGAGCAACCTAAACTTGAGGCTGTAGCGTCAGTTTTATTCTTTTCTCGTCGTTTGACCTTTTCACACTTGCAGGATAGAAGGTAGGGACGGTGTGTATACATGATCGCGCACGTGTTTGTGTGCTGATAAACGAGCGTCTATCTTCGGGCGTGGCTAAGACGTCAGTGGATAGAAAGACGAAATCACTGGCCGATGGAAGAAAGAAGAATGTTAACAATGAAGGCGACTCCAATAGGAAGAATGGTGGGTGGGGGTAGAGAAGAAGACTGAAAAGCCTACCCCGTCGCCACCCATCCGCTCACTTGCGAACAAAAGAAATAATAATAATAATAATAGAGAAGAAATTCTCTATCGAAAACAGAGAGGAGGAAAAGTTAATGTATACTAAAGGAGAATAATGGAATAAGAAAGGAAGGAAGGAAGGAAGGAAGGAAGGAAGGAAGGAAGGAAGGAAAGGAAGGAAGGAAAGAAGGAAGGAAGGAAAGGTAAAAATGAAAAAGTGTGACAGATGAAAGAAAAAAGAAACAAAAAGAAAAAGCAAATCACGGAACACTAAACAACGAAAAAGACAAAGAAGGAAAAAAGTAAGGGAGAAAGAAAAAGACAAAAGGGAAAAGAAAAGCATGAAATAAGAAAAAAGAAAGAATATGAGAGATAAAGAAAGAAAGAAAGAAAGAAAATGAAAGAAAAAGTATTACATAAGAAAGAAAAAAGCATGGAGCACTAGAGAAAGAAAGAAAGAAAGAAAAAAAGAAAAAGAAGAAAAGAAGTATACAATGAGGAAGAAAGAAATAAAGAATGAAGGAAAATGAAGTGACATGTTTAATGAATGTTAAAATAAGATACGGTGCAAATAGAAGAAGAAGAAGAAGAAGAAGAAGAAGAAGAAGAAGAAGAAGAAGAAAATGAAAGCAAATCGAAAAGAAGAAAAAAGAAAAGGTATAGGTAAAATAATAAAGAAAGAAAAGAAGAAAAACAAATAAAGAAACAAAGACAGAAAGAAAGAAATAAAAACAAAAAAGAAAAGAAAAGTATGAAAGAAGGAAAAAATGATAGAAAAAATATGAAATAAAAAACAAAAATGAGAGAAAAGTACGTAGAAAAGAAAGAAAAATAAAAAATGAAATAAAATTATGAAAGAAAGAAAAATACAAAATGAAAGAAAAGTATGTAAGAAAAAAGAAAAGTATGAAGGTGAAGAAAGGAAAAACAAGAATGAAATAAAAGTATGACAGAAAGAAAGAAAGAAAGAAAGAAAGAAAGAGTGAGAAAGAGAGAAAGAAAAGTGAAAGAAAGGTATAATAGAAGGAAAGAAAGAAAGAAAGAGAGAAAAATGAAAGAAAAGTATGAAAGAGAAAGAAAGAAAGAGAGAAAACAAAAATGAAAGAAAAGTATATAAGAAAAAAGAAAAATTAAAGAAAAATATGAACGAAAGAAAGAAAAACAAAAATGAAATAAAAGTATGAAAGAAAGAAAGAAAGAAAGAAAAAAGAAAGAAAGAAAGAAAAAAGCATACAATGAAAAAGAAAGAAATAAAAAGAAAAAGAAAGGTTGGCTTTTTAAGGCTCACAGACAGAACCCCGCCCCTCATTGACAGTCAGACAATAATGCATTCTTTCCTAACTTGCCCACCCTCGCCAATCATAAATGATGCAGTTAAATGCTTGTTATATTTTGCTCAATGACCAAAACTGTGTAGCGCCAGTCACACGAGAAGTTGCTTTGGATAAAAGTTACTCGAAATGAAAACCTTTCCTGAATTTGAACGCACTTCTTGGTGTCAGCCGCTCATAATTGAGACCAACGCGCCTACAGAAGCTTGTCGTTTGTGAAAAGTAACAGGGAGAAACATTTTAGAGAGAGAGAGAGAGAGAGAGAGAGAGAGAGAGAGAGAGAGAGAGAGAGAGAGAGTCAAAGAGAGGAAGAGAATGGAAAAATTGAAAAGATATGATGAGAATGAGGTACAGAGAGAATAAATGATTTTCGTGATACTACGTGTGAGAAAGAAAGAAAGAAAAAAGAAAGAAAGCAGGTGGAAAAAGAGAAAGAAAGAAAAAGGGTGTAAGGCAAAAAGTAGATTTTATGTGTGTGTGTGTGTGTGTGTGAGAGAGAGAGAGAGAGAGAGAGAGAGAGAGAGAGAGAGGAAGAGAAGTAGAGAGAACGGGGTGTTGTAAGAGAGAGGCGGTCAATAGTCATAAACAAAGCGAGAAGCAAAACTAAGTAGAGAGTGGGTGAAAAGCAAAATTAGGAAAGGGGTTGTGATTCTACAACCGTCAACATTTCAATAAAAGGTCGATTGATTACGTTTTCAAAAAGCATTTTGGGGGAAGGGGTGTAAAATAAAATTTTTAGTCGCGTGGAAACAAAGAAAAGAGAATAATAACAGAAGAAAAAATGTAGTGAAAAAGGAAGAAGAAGAAGAAAAATGAAGAAGAAGAAGAAGAAAAATGAAGACGTGAAAGAAGAAGAAGAAGAAGAAGAAGAAGAAAAATAAAGAAGAAGAAAAATGAAGAAGAAGAAGAAGAAGAAAAGACGAAAAGAAGAAGAAGAAGAAGAAGAAAAGAAGAAGAAAAAAAGAAAAAGAAGAAGAAAATGAAGAAGAAAAATGAAAAGAAGAAGAAAATGAAGACGAAAGAAGAAGAAGAAAAATGAAGAAGAAGAAGAAAAATGAAGAAAAAAATGAAGAAGAAAAATGAAGAAGAAGAAGAAGAAGAAGAAGAAAAATGAAGAAAAAGAAGAAAAATGAAGACGTGAAAGAAGAAGAAGAAGAAAAATGAAGACGTGAAAGAAGAAGAAGAAGAAGAAAAATGAAGAAGAAGAAGAAAAATGAAGACGTGAAAGAAGAAGAAGAAGAAAAATGAAGAAGAAGAAGAAGAAAAATGAAGACGTGAAAGAAGAAGAAGAAGAATAAAAATGAAGACGTGAAAGAAGAAGAAGAAGAAGAAGAAGAAGAAATTTGATAAACTGTCCAAATATAAGTATCTGGAAAGTGAAATTACAACAATTTCACTTTTAATCACAACTGTTATTCCAACAGTTATAGGAGAACCCGGAATGATTTACATTAATACTGATACAGTTGTAATGGAAATCCTAGGAAATCCATCTTTTACTGAAATACATATACTTGTTTTAATACGTACGAGTCACATAGAAAACCCCTTTCGATCCAATATACTCAAAATAACATTGGAAGAAACACCCTTCATTTACCCTTTGGCCTCATGTGAAAGATTTGGTCAATGATCTTTATTAAACAGCAACACCAAAAGAAATAAACAAGAACAAAACAACGCCAACAACAAAAATAGCAATAATAATATTGACAACAGCAGCAGCGAATCGATATGTGTGGGTGAAAAGAGTAGATGAGCAGAGAATGAAGGAAAAAGGGAGAACGTTTCACCTTGGTGTCACGAAATTTTAGATTACAGATGCTTGAAGAATGTTCTTCATACGCTGCCTATTATATATATATATATATATATATATATATATATATATATATATATATATAATGTATTGAACAATAAAAATATTGGGAAATTAAAAAATTAATTTTTTTAGACACACTGGGTTGTATATTAATATTTTTGTTTTATTATTTCAATTAGATTAGTTTCGGCCAACATGGCCATCATCAGAGGAAAAATCTACTTGTTAGTAGCAGGAATGAATAACGTGATTAAGAAAATGAACTTTATCTATAGTTTTCATTTGTTTTTTTGTTTTTTATTTTTATCCTAAATTTTGGTCACTTCCTGTGACCACTTCTTGGCCTCTTTTTAGTTGTTATTTAAGATAGAGGCTGGATAGATTCATACTGCTCTGAATTCCCTTGGTCATTTTGACAGTTTTATTGGTTCCTGGAAAGGTGATGTGTATGTGTTAAGTGTGTGTTATCATTTAGTTCTCCCGGGAGTGAGTGAGTGAGTATGATGTGTGTAAGTGTATAGATTAGTATGAGTGTGTATAAGTGTAAAACCTCAACACATCCGCAAGCATGTCAGTCTTGTGTGGGTAAGAAATGTGAGTAGCGCCTGATTTGTGGGGTTATATATTAATTCTATCTATGTTGTTAAATATGTATGTATGTATATATGCACACACACACACACACGCACACACACACACACACAGAGACATATGGACACAAGCACGCACGCACACACACACACACATACGTATGTATCGCATTAAACGTTATTCTCTTCAGCAGAGGCAGCATCCGTTTAACGAAGCGTCTACTGAAGTACATATCCACTAAAAATAAAGTTTAAAGTGATGCAAATCTGTCAGATTAATAAAAATTCATTCTAAAAATTCTCTTTGTTTACGTTTGGATACGAAACTATATGCAGGTATGAAAAAACTTCGAGAGATTTATGACGAGACTGGAATTTCGCTTGAAACCATGAAAATGCCATCGACTGCGTCGTCTGTTTCTTCGTGGCCAAGCGGTACGGTATACCGGGCTAAACGTATAGCTCATCTTCTTCTAAGACAATGCAGTTTCGATTCCTGAAAAAAGGGGTAAATTTTCTTTAATAACATTTTTCAAACATTCACGCCGTTGAATGAAAATAAATGAATGCGCTATTTAATAAATAAACCGAGCAGCAACTCAATTACTCTTAATATCTACTAAAAATAACGTTTAAAATGGTACAAATTAGTCGCATTAATAAAAATTCATTATAAAAACAAACACATACACACACACACACACACACACACATATATATATATATATATATATATATATATATATATATATAATATATAAAATATATATATATATATATTTTTCTCATATAATTATGTATTTCGGCAGAAATCCTCTTTATAGATGTTTCGTTAAACACTACTGACAAGGAACCACGATTAAGCTTTTTATTCAATTTTCCTTTAGTTCGTATGTTTAGTGATATAATCCTTGCTAATTAGCCCAAGGCTGGTTAAGAAGTGGTAGAATCATACATTTCCCAAGCGGTATTTACGCCTAAGTGAATATAAACAACAAAACGGGAATTGTAACTCGGCTCTCTGAGCAATTACACCACAGGTACATCTAAGCTTACAGCACCTGGTATTCCCAAGAGATCACATATCTATCTATCTATCTATCTATATATATATATATATATATATATATATATATATATATATATATATATATAAATATAAAGGGTGTGCCAATAACTTGCACCAATTTTAAATGTGAGTTAAGTTTAAACGTCTAATAATTGGTTCCTTTTCCTTTCAGATTTAACAAGGAAAAACTATTAATGACAAACACTAAAATTTAAACACTATCTATTGTACACATTTTTAAATGTCTTTGAATTATTCATAATTAATTTTAATGAGGTTTGGTTTCAATTTTTGTTACATAAATAGCTTCAAGTATTTTTAGTTTGTGTTTATTCTTTTCGTGGAAAATTATGGAGGTATTTTCGACGAGAATTTTTCTGAATTGCGAGTGTGGATAGGTATGTTGCTGTAAATGTTTAGAAATATTGAAGGTTTTGTGTTGTTCAGGTGAAGACTTAGCTTACGTGAAAGCGTTGTTGTCGTGTGTCGAACATAGATATTATTTTTATCGTTGGAGATGCAATCTCCCAGAGGACATTTAAATTTATAAATGATGATGGTTTTCTGCAACACGCAAGTGGCCAGGAAAAGACATTACGAATGATTTTATTAGATATATTGGATTTAGTGTAGTATATAATTATTAGATATATTGGATTTAGTATGGTATATAATTATTAGATATATTGGATTTAGTGTGGTATATAATTATTAGATATATTGGATTTAGTGTAGTATATAATTATTAGATATATTGGATTTAGTGTAGTATATAATTATTAGATATATTGGATTTAGTGTAGTATATAATTATTAGATATATTGGATTTAGTGTAGTATATAATTATTAGATATATTGGATTTAGTGTAGTATATAATAGGTTTTACTTTTTTTACTTGGGTCTGTGGTGGATGTATTGGTTTTTATTCATTTTTTTAGGATATTTTTTGTTTCAAAAGAAACAATTGCTCAATAGTCAATTAAAAATGACAACCAGGAATAGAGCTGGAATCCAGTCCGAAAAAGTCTGTCAACGCATCATCATTTTCTTCATATTCCATTAGTGATGAGGAAGTTCCGCTCTTACAAATTCTTCCACAACTTTTTCATGTTGCATTGCGAAACCGAATCCCGAGCGGATGCGCCTTCGATCTTACGCTCAAAAAATAGATTCAAACATTATCCTACAAATCCTCATAATACGCACATCTTTTCCTCTTCTCTGTAAGCCCTTAAAACCAATTCATTTAGCAACCTTATACCTTAAGCGGCTCTTGGGTCTTACACTAAATGGAGCGATCTTCAGACGGTCCAGACAAACTACAGTAAATTTTGACTCTTTTTTGTGTTGCATCACACAAACACACACACAAACGCACACACACACACACATGCACGCACGCACACATAAAGACAGACAAACGCACACACATACACACACACACATATATCGTGTTTTCCCATTGTGGCCTTGTTCATATTTGATGTTATTGAATGTTATTAATATAGTTAAATTTTCAGATCAATTCTGTGGACAAGACAAATTGGTAAAAGATGACAACTGGAAAAATTGTCGACATGAAAAGAAAAGAAAAACTCTTAATATAAACGAAATTTACATTAACCAGAAAGAGGCTTACGCTGAAGCGTCTCTCTTTTTTAAATTTGGATTTTGTAGTGTAACTATAACAACAAAAACATTTCGATTTCATTTTTGCCTTGAATAAGTCGGAAGACAAAATGCGTCGGTAAAAAACTAAGATTTCTTCCAATGTTCATCTCATACCAATTTGTCTTGTCCACAGAATTGATCTGGGAATTTAACTATATATATATATATATATATATATATATATATATATATAGATAGATAGATATATACAGGAAAAGAGAGAAGAGCGACAGAGAGAATTAATATGAGTAAAAGTTTGTCGCTTAGCTGATTGATGTTACCTTCAGCATCCTGACTCCAGAGTTCCGTAGGCGGACCTGTCCATCCACTCTTCAGTGGTTATCAGCAATAGGTCCGTCTACGAAACTCTGGAGTCGGGATGTTGAAAGTAGCATCAATCAGCTAAGTGATAAACGTTTACTTATATTAATTCTATTAATGCGCTATCTTTGATATAGACCACTTTATTGGAAAGACTGCTTGCCTTAAATGTCTTTTGCCTCAGTATCCCATTGACTGTCAGCATTTTTGGCTTCATACTAGCTATGACATCGCTATTATATATATATATATATATATATATATATATATATATATATATATCAGGTCATCCCATAAGTTCTGTCCGAATTTTAACTTTTTTTAAAATGAAAGAAATTTAAAGAGTATTTTATAATGTCTAATGGAGCTGAACATTATTTTTATGTTTAGATCAAAATTGATCAAATTTTATTTCAGAAAACAATAAAATTAAATTTTGTTTGATTAAACCCTGCTAACGTGGAAGTACCCAAGAATCATTTGAGGCACATAATGCTTTTTGAGTTCAAGAAAGGAAACTCACCAGCCGAAGCGGCTAGAAACATTCACTCAGTTTATGGAGAGGAATGTGTGAATGAAAGAACTTGCAGAAGATGGTTTGCAAAATTCAGAGGTGGAGATTTCACCCTTGAAGATGAAGATCGAACCGGACGTCCAGTTGAGTTTGATGAAAAGCTTTGAAGCGGCCCTTGAAAGAAAATCCTGCTTTATCAGTTGAGGAATTGGCAGTAGTTCTCCGTTCAAACCATACAACTGTTCATCGTCATCTTCAACAACTTGGAAAAGTTCCTAAACTTGGAAAATGGGTGCCTCATGAATTGTCTGAAAACAACCTCAAATCCCGAATTGACATCTGCTCTTCTCTCCATTCTTGCCAACTTGTTTCACCTTTTTTGGATAGACTTGTGACTGGCGACGAAAAATGGATCTTTTATCGAAATGCTAAGCGTCGTAGACAGTAGCTTGGTAAAGGGTAAGGACCCCAGCCACAGCCGAGAAGGGAACTTCATGGGCAAAAGGTTCTTCTTTCAATCTGGTGGGGTCGCCAAGAAATAATCCACTTTGAATTCTTACCACCTAATGCAACAATTAATGCTCAAATATACTGTCAGCAATTAGAGCGTTTGGATCAAGCTTTGAGGAAAAAAAGACCTGCTCTAGTGAATCGAAAAGGGGTGATGTTTCATCAGGACAATGCGCGACCCCACACAGCAAGAATCACGTCAGAAAAAAATCGAAGAACTTGGTTGGGAGAAAATTCCTCATCCACCTTATTCTCCCGATCTTGCTCCTTCAGACTACCATTTGTTTCGTAGCTTACAGAATCATTTGGAATAAACAGCTTTTGTAACACAGGAAGAGGTTAAAACTGACATTTGTGAGTTCTTCGAATCAAAGCTAAAAGAATTTTACAGTAATGGAATTAGTAAGCTTGTTAATAGATGGAAGGAAGTCATAGATAATCAGGGAAAATACATTGTTGATTGAATCTGTAATTAAATGTAACATTTGGTCACTTGTTTTATTTTAATTCAAAATTCGGACAGAACTTATGGGATGACCTGATATATTTATATATATATATATATATATATATATATATATATATATATATAATTTTATTTGTTTAAACGTTATTTTTTTCAAGTGGTTATTCATATTTGAGTAGATGCTCTGTTTTTATTTATTGAACAGTATATTTATATCTATGGGTCTGAATATTCGAGAAATGGTGTTAGAAAAATATGAATCCTCCGGCAGGATACGAACCTGCGTGCCATAGGGAAAACCGTAATTAGATCTGACGAGCCTTAGACGATCTCGGGCACGTAGGACTTCCTGATCAAACAAAACCAGAATAATGCTTATGAAACACAAATCTTCCTCCCGATTCTCGAAAATAGACATGTCGCTCTGTTTGTATCCTAACGTAAAGAAAGACAATTTTTACGAAATGGGTTTAAATCCAACAGATATTTAAATTCATTTGTTACACACACACGCGCGCACACACACACACACATACACACACACACACATATATATATATATATATATATATATATATATATATATATTTGGTAACTTCATTTTTATTGAGATAAAATACTTACAAGAAACTAAAAACATATTTGCTGAAAGATGGAGACATCTATCGGCGCGTGTATAAATAAACAGAAGCCGTGTGTATGAAAAGTGCTAAACCGTTGATTAATAGCAACATTGTGAGGTTGAAGTGTTAAAATCGAGAAAACTTTTAGACCTCATTCGGACCTCTGAAAAGCTCAATTGCAAAAATGATCAGCAGGTATCGACTAACAGTGAAGAGGCCCGTGGAAGACCCTTGACGACTCCGATGAAGTTCTGATTAATGGAAGTTGAGAACTTTATCTCTCTCATCTACGTCCCATCTCAAGAGCGAACACATAAAGAAATAGTTTTTGACGATCTATGCATTTTTAGACGAGAATATCTTAAAAAGCACAAGAATAGCATGTGAGATCGATAGATCGATCACTCGGTCGCGTTTTAAAGACACCAATGAGAAAAATTCGGATAAATAAATGATTTTTCAAGCATGCTTTTCGCTGATGAATAACATTATCTTCACCGAGACAGACGAATGAAACAAAGGTTGGGGTGAGACAATGCAGAGGTAGTGTAATGATTTGGGGGGGTGGGATTATGGATGGGGCAGTAGTGGGACCCCATTACGAGTTCTTGATAATATTAAGATGACATTTCAGGCGGATGTTCAACAAAAGAAACTGAAAGCCATCAGAGATCGTAGTACTACAGGCATGAAACCAAAAATATTCACTTTCAAAATTCCTTCTTTTGTAATATAGACGCAGGGAAAGAAACAAGTATTTATTGGAATATGAATGAAGATATGATCAATCAGAGTAAATATTATCACGAGTAATCCTGTTGATGTTTTTTTCCTTTTAATAAAATGGAGAAACAAGTATCTCAAGGCGACAGAGGAACCATCAAGGAGAAAGTACTTCTAGGAGTAGAAGAGGGGACGACGTTTTGGAGAACCATGACTACTACAGCACACTGAAAGTGCGTAAGAAAATGACTTAAAAGAATAAATAAAGAAATAAAACTGCTCTTTTTATTTATAATTACGGCTTATGTAAAGCCGGGGTAACAATTTCGTCAATCTACCCACTAACCTTGAGTTGTTTATTTGTTGTGTAACCTTGGTCTAGAAAAATAAATTCATAGTTAAGACAAAATATAGGCCGTTGAGAACTGATATCGAAACATTTCAGATAAGATATATTATTATTATTATTATTATTATTATTATTATTATTATTGTTATTAATGAGACACCGACACGTCAACAAAGTGACGCTGGGTTACAAACACACATAAGGGCATGCCGGGAGCATATATCACAGACAAAAGTGCGCGACATGGTGACAGGTTATAATAAAAACAGTGCAACACTTACAGGTGGGACCCAGTTAGAAATACTTTCAGGTCAGGTAACTCGGTCTACTCAGACGTTTTCCGCTGTAGGGTGTCCTCAATTATCTCGTTGTGACCCACGAGTCGCTTTGGCTGACCCATCCTTCAGTGCTAAAAAAAAATATATATATATATATCAACGCTCTTCACACACGATCATGATACTCGCCCACAATTCCTGCTCATGAATAGATACACATAACGTCAGCTCATAGGGGACATATCTATCTCTTTATGGTTAATCATCAGACAACAAATCTGTAGCATAGAACAGGAAATCTATTGTAGCATATCTTACTTCACCAAGACAAAATATGTACATGTTAACACCTCCATGCAATTGAAATCAGAAACTACGTGTGCCATGTCTGATATAACATCAGAACATTTATTATTATTATTATTATTATTATTATTATTATTGATGTTGTTGTTGTTCCTTAGCGCGTTACGCCCAAGAAATTCAATCGTCTGTTCCATTTTTGATTGCAAGGAATGACGGAAAAGACATATCAGAGACGCTGTTGGCTTTCAGTGAAAAAAAAAAGAAAGAAATAAAGCAAGAAAGAAAGAAAGAGGCGGCGATAACACTCTCATGTGTTTAACGTCTGTTTCAATAAAATGGAAAATGTCAATTTCAAATCTTTTCATTTGTACCCCCTTACTTCTTAAAATAACACCCAACATTTATATTTCTGATTGTTATTGCAATATTTTGTTAAAGTTGTTAAGCTCAAATATTTAACGACGCAAAAGAGGAATTTCCTCGGATATTTTTTTTTCCGTAGAATTCGCCATGAGCTTATTTCATCATTAACTGAAGTATTAAGAATTAAGATTCATCAGAAAATTAAAATATGAAAACAGTGAAATCTTCATGGGTCTTTCTAATTATTATTATTATTATTATTATTATTATACTCCCTTAAATTCAGGCTAGCATACTCAGCTTGATTGTTATACTCACAACGTTTCATCCATTATACCCTCCGCCCATCTGGAGCTGCTACTTCTACCCATCATGCATAGATTTCATCCTAACAAATGTATTTCTTTTGCATATTATTATTGTTATCCTACATTTTCTCTTTTAACTTGGAAATATTTCTCCACGTCTAAAACTAAATGTTGCTCCTAGAACTTCAAATCATGCATGGATTTCAAACTAACGAAACTATTACCCGTGTATGCTATTCGCATTAAACAGTTTTCGCTTCCGCGGAGATGTATATTTTTCATGTTGCACGAATTTCAACCTAGCAAAACTTCAAGCGGACTATAGGCTAGCTCCCGCGGAGTACTTTTACCTTCAGCATCTTATGTATGTAAAAGTTATAAGAATTTAAAAATAAAATAATTTTATTTTCATTTGACACCTAAATTCGGCATAATCTTTCTTCATATATGTAACCGATCTCTGTAGTATGTTTATATTTGCTTTGTGCGCAATTTTTATTTTCTTTTAAAATCACCATTCTTTATGATCTCTTCACATAAAGTCACTTTTAAAAGACATTAGGGAACCTGAACTATGTAATATTTCGAGTACATCACAGTATGCGTGCGAGAAAAAGGAAAACATATGATCAATGTACCGTTCCCTGAGTAAGTTTTAATTCAGGTTTAATTAGACGATATCAATTGCAATTACGACGAAAAGCAAAATTGATTTTAAAAATTTAATAAAGAATTCTTTTTAAAACCTTTCACTCAATTCAATATTTAAATTTGACTTTAAACGAGTTACTTATTTAATTTTTAATCACGTTACTTTTAATAGTTACTTCAGGTTATTTATGATTCACCGAAACGGACAGACGGACACACATGCACTAAACTTTATTTATATAGAGATATATTATTATTGCACTCTGTTTTTTTGCTTTTTTTTTTTTTTTTTTTTGTTTTGTTTTTTTTTGTTTTGTTTTTTTTGTTTTTCTATTTTTCATGTCTCGAACAAAGTAGTGCTCCAAACTTTTTCTATTACGTGTGAATTTCTAGCAAACAAACAATCTTCAGGTTGATCTTAGTTTTACTTTTTGAAAAATGTCTATTTATACCCGTTAACTCAGAACGCAAAACCAGCATATTAAAGGAGATTTGTTTAACCTTAATTAACAGCCTAAACTGTTCAGCGATGACTACCATATAGGGGGATTCATATTACACAACAGTTCAACATTTTCAAAACTTTCCTGTTTATTAATACCTTATTAGATTATAGAAGACATTTTTCGCTAACCCAATGCTCCTTCCGATTTATAAAATGTCGATCTAAAAGTGATAGATCTTCAATTTGTGGCGATTCTCAGCAAGAATAAAAAAAAATGGCAACGAATGTGTTTCTGAAACTTTTCTTTTGATAGTTTTCCTGAGAATTTCTATACATTACCATACTGACCTAGACACTGATACTTATGTATTTATTCAGATATTTGCGAAAGTAACTCCGAAAAGTATATTTCTCCGTCTAAACTCTACTTCAATTCTATACGTCTAAAATCTCCGCCTAAACTCTGAAATTTTATTTACTATTTTCTTTCTGAATCAGAGAAGATAGGTTCGGCTATCGTCCGGTTTACACTCCTCCCTGGTTTTTTGAACAGGATTAGAAGTGTATCCCGGTTTAGGATTGGGTTTCCAGTTTCTTTTAAAGTCTACTTCAACTTTATATTTCGAACATCTACGCCTAAACTCTGAAATTTATTTACTATTAATTTATTTTTCCTATCGACATGTTCATTATAATTTTGCATGTGTATATTCCAGTCTCGATTTGAGGAATCTGACAAAGGATGCAGTAAAAATGTTTGCCCGTGACGGCAAAATGCGATCTATAAATCAAGTGTCATCAAAATCAATCAACAACAGAAATTGAAATATTTCGGAAGAGTTTAATCGGATGCAGAAAAATGCGACTTATAAATCAGAAAGGAGAATTGGAATAGCAAAAGGTACCTTGTGACATAGAGTGAGAGAGAGACCCCCCACCCCGAGGTGGATTTAGGAATCAACAGTGCTAAAGAATTAGGATAATTACTTGGGTAGAAGGGATTCCGGAGTAATTCCAGAAATAAGTTTATTTTGTTTTCTCTTGTTTTTTTTTTCTCTTAATAATTGTTTCTGGGTTTGAGTTATTAGCTAATTAAATGTAATAATTTCAGAGTGATTAAGAGACGGATTCGTTAAAGTAAAGTTTGTGATAAATGGCGAATTGGACTTTTGGGTGGTCTGAATGGCGGAATTCAACCAGACGGGATAAGTGGTTTTGGCAAAACTTAAGTAGACGTTGTCTGCGGAAGACCCAGCAGGAGGTCCGAATCCGATTTTAGTATCTCTTGAAAACTGGGTTCCCGCTGAGTTTCGGGGACCGGAAAAACTTGTATGGTGGTCAAAGGCGATTTGCATATTAAAATTCGGGGGCGGTGCCTAAAGATGGTTTAGCTCCGCGTCTCTCTATATAAGCTTCCCGCACGCTTGAGTTAGCCGGATCGGAACGCGGCAGAACGTGGAAGAGACGGCTTGTTGGAATTTGCTGGTCTGGTCTGTTGGTTGTCCTGCGTCAAGAAGACCGATCCGAACCAAGAGATAGAAATAGAACCCGTACGAATCCAGATAACTTCGTCAACAAAGCTGTGAGAAAGCAAACTGCTATATCGTAGGGTGCAGACGAAGATCCACGAATCACTTCCCTTAGATCAGCCGAAATTGTTTAGGCAGAAATTTTCCTACTCTCTCTCTGTCACTTCCGACCCCAAACGTGTGAACCTCGTTACGACATTTTGTACTCGTGTAAATTCTTCGGTAGTGACATAAAAACAGTGGCTTAAAAAGGGCTCTTTGTACAGGAACCGAAAGAGTTGCTTATTTTTTCTTTTTCATGTCTTTGCGGCTGCGACAAGAAACTGTTTTTTGCATGTATAGTGAGTTCCTTTCAGCGTAATACCCAGCCATTTAATTCATCCTACCTCCGGATCGTTCTGAGGGATCGAAATACTGCTGTTCGGATCAAAAATTCACAACGTAGCGGATAGTGGTGGTTCGTTCAGTTCACCGGGGGAGAACCGGATGGTTTACTTTTCGGCCAGAACCACCGGAGAGACAGGACAGAGCTGTAGCCGGCAGGGCTTTTACGTTAGACCTTCCAAAGGCTAAACCAAGTATTAAGAAAGAGGAAAATATCGAAAACAGGAAATATATATCAGAAAGTGCTGTATGCTACGTAATAC